AACAACACGTGGCACAACCCGAAAACACATGACAGAGAGAGAGTATATTCGTTTAACCAAATAGGCCGCTGTGAGTGTACGTGGTAATAAAGTGAGATGTGCAAACAGGGCTGCCCAGAGGGGATGGCAAAATAGGCAATTTGCCGAGAGCCTGACACAAACGAAGGCCCCCAAAACGGGCCTGTTTTCTTTTTGTTGCGAATCAATAAGCGGGGCGGGGTGGGGGTACATGGTATTCTGCCCCAGGCCTCTAGCCCTGGGGCCTCCAACCACGTTGTAGGGGTGCTACTGTGTAATGCTGCTGTGCATAACCAATACACTTTCTGTATTGTATGCATACATTTGATTGTTTTTGGCAATTTTGTGCTCGGCATCATAGGTCAAATGTTACATTTGATATACTATAGTGGCAACTAAATTGACAACAATAATACCGTCACAACACTGTCACCGAGTCTCTTGCCTCCCGTTCCAGTGGAACACGCGAGAACAGGGGTGAGACTCGTAACTTATTTCACGTGCAATTAGTTGGGTTATCTAACCGACAATTGGTAGGGACATATAGTGATTGAATAATCGAATAGCCCAGCTGTAATCTAGTCTAAGAACTGGTAAAGTTGTATTGTTTATTTAGTTTAACACGTAGGATGTATGATTGCAATGCATTGCACTCCTCTTTCCCCATCAGATGCAATGAACTGCGCAATGAGCAGTGTGTTTAGGTGTCTATGCTCATTACTCATTAAGGGGTTGATCCCCCTTTTAACAACTAACAGTCACCATTGTCTTTGTCCATCGCACACAATGGCCGTGGTTATTTCGCGTACGGAAAGTTCCCCAATTCCAAGGCACACATTGTGACAGCATTCAGCCAATCGTGTCCTGCACAAATGTTGTACTCTCTTGGGTGTGGATAAACAGGAGGCACCGTCATCTGGGGGTTGTGTAAACCAACCCACCGAACCAAGCGGGCGCTGGTATAAATAAAGCGCCTATTTAAAATAAACTAATCAAGCCCTTTTTTTTTAGGGGGGGAGGGAACACAGAGAAAGTGTTTCCTGTAACACAAAAAGGCACATTTGGATGTATAAAATACCTGCTTACATGGTGGAGTTTTTGTTAAATGTTCCACGCTGCGATAAACAAACGTACAGCGTAATAGTAAACAATTATTGTTGAAGTCTTTCTTGACGAAAAAAAAACCACACGCACACGGCCAAGTTGCCATTATTGAATAACGGGCTGGGCTTGCAATCCAGAGATGGCCGGGTTCGATTCGAAACCAAATCCATCCCATTCTAGATTTGAAGCTTTCGTGACTGCAAGGATCCATACTCTTTGGTTCTATTCGGTAAAGTCACGTAGGTAAAAAAATAAAACAACAAAAATCACGACGTTTCGGCCACAACACAAGCGGCCTTCATCAGGTGAAGGGACCAGACTGTCTCGAGGACAGCGCTGGAGTGAAATCCATCCCACCCCGCGCCTCTGCCTACCCAGCAATGCATTGTGGTGAGGTCAAGTGCGGTTACTGCCACCTCTTCCAGGCCAAAGCAGGGGCGACAAAATACCATCGAACCGACTGGACTTGAGCGCTCAGATCGATTTTGTTTCGATCTCCCCGGCGTGGCAGGCGAAAACAATGGGCGCATTTCCTAAACCCCCACCCCCCCCAGCCTCTGACTAATACCCCCCAGAGGCATGCAATTGGGTGCACCACAGCGGGTGATGTGTGGTGGGGTAAAGTGTGGGTACTCACACCTCTTCCAAGGCATCTGCCGAGCGTGGAAGAGCAAGTCGAGGGGCTCTCTCGAGTTGCCTCCAATTGGACGCCGCCCTCCCCCAACAGCAGCAGTTGCGCGAGGAAGCAATTGCAGGGCTGCATTTGCGACTTGTATTGTTCATGTGTTGACAGCAAAGGGGTGCTTGAATTGGTCGAACAGAGTCGATTTCCGTGCTCACGGTGCACGCATCAAATGGAGCGTGTGAGGGTGTTATAATTGCTCTATTTTAGATTTGTATATGTTGTATATAATCAGGTCACGTCCACGCTGCAAGCCACTAGAGGCGCTGCAATGCACCAGGACGTAACCTTAATGCACACTCTTCATGTTGAGCTTCTTTCGCACGGATCCAACCGTGCTAATCAGAGGTGCCGGGAGAAACGCCAATTATATCGTGACCCCAAATTGTGACAGTTCGTGGAATAGTGGTGAGGGTGAATATTTGCAGGTCTCACAAAACATGAGTTATAATATGCATTGGTAATGTTAATACATCCCTTTTAGGCTATTACTTATGACGATGGTAAAAAAAAACCTTACATATAAGAGCTGTTATGCAACAATATTACCCGTTCGGGTTATTTTATTCATATCACAGTAGTTGAATAGCGCCACCTATGAACATTTTGCAGCACATCATTCCGCAATGCAATGATTCTTCTTTCTGGATTTTGACCCGTGGGTGCGGCACCGTCATGAAAATCCACCAAAGAGAAATTGAGAAGCAACGTGTGCCACTGGGCTCGAGTGTTGGCGCAGTGATTAGCGCGCTGCACTATGAACCTGAGTTCAATTCAAAGCCAAGGATAACAATCAGTGCTAAACGACATCTGAACTGGTCCGAGGAAAAACCCACTTCAGTAGTCAGTCAGTTTTTTTCGGATCAGGCCCAATGAGCGTCGCGGTGGCTATGAGATGTTGACGACCTCGCGTGGTATACATGAGGTCGTGGGTTCGATCCCGACCCTGACGCCTGCTGTATATTTGGAGTTTACGTGATCTCCCCGTGGTCGCGTGGATTTTTGTCCGGGTCCTCCGGTTCTTTCCCTTCCACATTTTCAATCAACATGCATTTTAGAGTGTTTAGCCGCTAGAATTTTCCACGCGACAAGCCACTTAATTGGGCTATCAATTGCGGCCAGGTCACTACGGAAAAAGAGCTCCATCGGTCAGTGGGCCTTAGCTGGTGAAGTCAAAATAGTTTAGTTTAGCTTACAAGCTATTTTCCAATGGCAATAGCTGGAAGGGAGGGTGGTGTAGAACAAGAGCTGGGAAATGTTATAAACATCACGAATAAATAATAAAAATGAATAATACAATAATAAAAACACAGGCCTATGTTCAGTTACACGAGTGAGAGGCCTCACATGTGGTACTAACCAGCATGGCGACGTATGGTCAACAAACTGGCATTGGGAGACCTTAACGCAGCAGTGGATTGGCATGCTGTTATTATCATTAAACGCTATTATTGGAAGTCTGTTCACACAGTGCAAATCTGTTCATTGTGTCCACACAGAACAGTTTACCTGTTTGGAGTCAACTACATGGTGGAACGGTGCTGTCCGTCATGACAGACATTTCAGCGCGTTGCATGATCGATAAAGCTTGCCGCGCATCAGCTCGCTAGAGTATTGTCAAGAACCCTCTGTCTCCAGCGTGGTGAAATATGGTTACTCATCTCACGATGGATTGACAAACGGGACTGTAAATGATTACCGGTGACGTGGGAGGGAGCGCAATCGCCCACCCCCCCTCCCCTTCTTTATGGTGCATAGATTCGTGCAGTGTTTATTGGCCAATGTGTTGAGTTTTTTTGGTATTGGTGCTTGTGCACCGCTGCTCAAACGCAGCGTCACCGAATAATGTGTTACTCCGTGCGGCTTTTTGAGCAACACTGCCTGTCGAAACTGTGTACTATCCTTCTACCTATATATACTATCTCCAAGATAAATGTATGAATATTAAAATCAGCCATGATCCATCCACAGCTGGATGAAGGACTTCCCAAGCCACAGACACTGTCATGATCATGTGATCGATATATTAACGAAATTAAAAATAATCATCGTTAATCAATTGTATCATTCCACAAACATTGTACAGTATACACATTCCTCATTTCCAGATTTTTAAAAAATAATTCCTATTGTAAATTCACAGAGGGTTCTTTACAAGTTACTATTGTAAATTCGGAAGTGTTTTCTATACACATTCATGAAAAACAATCGTTTTAAATGTATTTGTGATGAACAGTAGTGTAGTTCTTTAAATATAAATAACAGTAATGATGCTGAGATTGCTACGGTACTAAAGTTAGTCGGCCTGTAATGATGTTTCAATATATCAATTAAAATCGATTATTATGCTATAATGCTCATGATGCATATATTAGGAATCATTAAATGCTACTTATACGCAAATTACACCGTCCAGTTGAATGTAAGCTATGTGCACAAACGAGACGGAACAAAATTAGACAATGCAAGTAAGATGGTAAAAATGAGACAAAAAGGAAATGACTCTTGCATCCAATCGTGACGATTATTTTAAACCACTGGGTAGATGAGCGTGGTCACTTTGCCACATGGGCCTATTGGTTCGCCTTCCCCAGTACGTTCTGCAATTTTTGCACCAGGGGGAGACATTGACTGTTGAGAACATTGACTGTTGTAGGATCCTACAACATTGATTGTTGTATAACTGTTGTAGGATTCTAGAACATTAACTGTTGTAGAATTGACTGTTGTAGAAGACATTGACTGTTGTATAATTCACTTAGAAACCACCATCATAAGCACAGGAACGAATCTATTTCTTTCGATGCAATATTACAGACAATTTAATTAAAATAATTCAGAGCTTTTGCTCATACGGCGCAGTACTGCATACTTGAACGAGCAATAATTTTGTATTTGCAATCAGGATAACGAAATTAATATCTGCAATCGGTACGACAAACAAAAGCAGCATTCCTTTTTGTTTGGTTTAAGATTGAGGGCTTATTCTCTCATTGCTTTAAGATGGAGGGCTTAATTTCATTTGTCATGGAATATTGTCTGAGCGCCCCCCAACAAGCAATCATCCACACCCCTACTGGCAGGGTGGCGAGATGTTAACCACCTCGCCCGGTATGCACGAGGTTATTCGTGGGTTCCATCCCGACCCGAACGCCTGCTGTATATTTGGAGTTTGCACGTTCTCACCGTGGTCGCCTTGGTGTTTCTCCAGGTCCTCCGGGTTTTCCCTCCTATACATTTGCACGTGACACCCCGTTGAGCTGCCACTTCTCACACCAGGTTGCTTCGGTGGGCCTTACCTGGAGAAAAAAAAAGAGAGACTAAATATTAGTAATAAATGTATGTTGAACTTCTTTCACACCGTACGTAGCCAGCACAACGTGCTGCATGAAATTACTGTAGATTAGACAAATGGGATTTGTGGTGGCAGTGGTTTAGCGACAGAAAGGGTGGTTGTGACATCGAGCTAGATTTGATTCCCAGCAGTACCGAGTGACACCTGAACCGGTGTGAGCCCCCGCCCTCCCTACCCCCCCCCCCCCCCTTCACCAACCTGCGCTGACCAGCGTGGTGAAGTATGGTCAAACAACCCCCATCACCCGCATGGCTTGGGGAGGCTGTCATCAGGAGTGGATTATCAAAGGACTTATTATGTTGATGATGAGGTAGAATATATAGTATTGGTTATTTCGTTAAAGTCACGTAGAAGGGGAACAATAAAATAATAAAAATATAAAACAATAAAATTCTCACGATGTTTAGACTGCAACACAAGCAATCATCATCAGGTGTGAAAATCACAGCAAGAAAATTTGAAAAAAGTGGCGGGTTTTTTTTCTTGAATAAACACAAGATCCAGGTCCGATTCAACACATTACATAAAATCCGTGATCTGGTTCCGTCTGTAAAAGATGTGATTCCGGACATACAGTACCCTGGCGTCTACAAACTAAGTTGCCTCTGTGGTAGTAGTTACATTGGAGAAACCAAACGACATGTTTCGGACCGCATCCGTTAACACAAAGCAGACCTAAAACACGGTAGGACCAACACCTCGGCCGTGGCAGATCACTGTTATAATTCAGTAGGCTCACATGACATTGTCTTCTCCAAGACAGAGGTTATCTGCAAGCCATCTGGCTATCATGAGAGATTCGTTCATGAGGCTATCCACATATACAAGCACAGAGACAATTTCAACCGAGAAGATGGATTCTGGCTTAGCAATCATTGGAAGGATTTGATAAACTATTTCAGGTCTTAATTGATTGTTCACGCTTACGGTGGCTTTCAGACAGCATACATTAATTTTTCGTCTCCCCCCTCCTCTTTTCCGAACATAGATGGACTCGTCCATCTGAATAACTGCTAAATCGCTCTCCGTGGTGCTAACGTTAAAAAACGCCACTTATTAAAAAATTTCTTGCTGTGGTTTTCACACCTGATGATGATTGCTTGTGTTGCAGTCGAAACGTCGTGAGAATTGTATTGTTTTATATTTGTATTATTTTATTGTTTCCCTTCTACGTGGTGACTTTACCGAAAGAACCAAGAATATGAATCCCTGCAGTCACTTAAGCTTTAAATCAAAAGAGGTAGAATATATTTAGGGTTCGTGTTTATCAATGCAGTGGACTCGCAATGCAGTCACTGAAACTAAAAGTAATGGGTTGATAATGAGAGAATGGCTCATTTGGTAATGGACTTTTTGTTTGTTTAATCTGGGATTAATTAAGAATAATTATGTTATATAATGATACCAAACGCCATTTTGAAACAGTACGATAATGCTTTCTGATCCTTACTCAACAGAAAACGTGGGAACATAATTTATCACGAGTTGTCTCGGTTAATCGTCGGTAATAAATACAAACTGAAATTCACCCGCAAGGGTCCGTTTTAGCAGCAGAACAAGAAATAAAAGAATCAGTTATCCATCGCCCTGAGTAATAAAAAAACCACTTTGGCCTAGCGAGACATCCAGCATTGTGGTTAAAACAAAAACATTATCAACTGTAAGAGTCTTCAAATTCTAAAATCCATATGGTGCAAATATATGGAAGACTTGCCCATCGAATTCAAACCAAATTCTGTATAGGGTGATTATTTTTGGTAATTAATTGCAGTGGTTATTCATACAGAGATGCAATTTAAAGTGCAATGCAGGGGTAGACATGTACGAGACGGGTCATAAACAATACCGATTGAAACAATATCCAGCTCTTATCAGTCCACTGTTGGTTTTAGGCCATCAACATGCGTTTAGAGAATTTGACTGCTATAAATTTCCACGCGATAAGCCACTTCGTTGAGCTATCATTTGTGGCCAAGTCGCTTCTGAAAAAGAGCTGTATCGCTCAAGTGGGCCTTAACCGGTAAAATAAAAAATAGGATGCTTCCCGTCTTTTGCCTCCCCCCCTATCCCTTTTATTTCCCCAGTATGTCAGATCTCTCCCCCCTCACCCCTTTCTCCTCCCCATATAAAACTTAAACCACGTGGCCCCCAGTGAGCTCTAATTCCCACCCCCCCCCCTCCCCCTTCATAGGGCCCTGCAGAAATCGGGTCGCTGTTCGCGGAGTTTCTGTCCCCCGCCTCCTGCCCCCCCCCCCCGTTCTGCGATCGGGCGTGTTGTACCGGGCTCGCGTTAAGTTGCAATAACAACTATTATATTTTTTTAAATGGCCAGTGCAGGTTGGTGAAGGGAAGGTGGTGGTGGTGGTGGGTCCGAAAATCTCTTGCCATTGATGTTTGCTGTGGTCGGGAATCAAACGTAGGTGATCAGTCACAGTGTGCTAACCACGAAGCCATTACCTCATCCTCTGCACGTTATGTTACTTTCCATATATATATCTTTTGAAGAATAAGGTATGTTTCATGAGCATACTGACATGTCCTCTTAGAGATATGACATCCACAGAAGTCAGCAGGAGTGACTGCAGTGGGTTCTTGCTGAGTCGTGGGCATAAACAGCCAGAAGTCTGCTCTCTTGCCACTTATATTTACTTGTATTTCCCCACATAGGTTAAACGATAACCTCTGTTTCCTAACCACGTGAATGGGAATTTATACCGCTGTCACAGTATCTGAGTTTGAGACATTTTTACTTGAATTTGTGACAAACATTTTTTTTAAAAGTATTCCGTTCATATTTAATCCTCAAACAAATACACGCACGGTCTGTGCAATAATTGGCACTCTTTATTTTTTCATTAAAAAAATACTACTAAATAGTACGTGTGGATATATATATGGTCTGTGATAACGTATATATTGCGGCGATGGAGCAATGACATCAGTTTACGTGGCAGGTGCTCGGTGGGTTACTCCATCGAAGGATCGTGAGAGATGGCGGCGGCTTGCGATGTGACATATCGAAATAATGAAATAAGCAGTTGACACATCTTTGTGCGGCAAGTGGGCTGGCGTGCATTGGCAAAGTGGAAAAACGCGAGCGGGGTGAAATTGAGGCCTCATGACAATCAAACCTGATAGGATAGGAGGTATTGGCAGAATGAAGGCAGGCGGAAACATCATTGACTTTTCTGCTAGCATCCCCAATAGCACTTTTGTGCATTTCATCTCACATCAACCGCTGCGGGCTGAGAGGGGGCCGAACGCAATGTCATCAATCCACGCCGAGCCCCTGATAGTGAAAATAAAATTAATCAGCATGCATGTAGAATTTAGTTTGTGTTCCTTTCATAGAAAATATTCAATTTGCTGTAGAAATGCACTAAGCAGACAATATATACACTAATTCGCTAAAATGGTAAAATATTAGCTCTTAGAACTATTTTCATAAATGTATATATATTTTTAGAAACACACTCATACAAATCATCAAAACTCATAATTCGTGCTTTTTTTAAAATGGTGCCTTCCAATGCAATACATTTGTTTTAGCGATACTGCATCGGCAGCGGTGCACAAGCACAAATGACAATAACGCACCAAATTCGCAAATAACACTGCCCTAAATATAAAATATATATGAGAAGAGCTATATCTCTGGTATGAAAAAAAGGTCTATTGCGTGAATTGTCATCTATTAGATATTTCAATGCATGCACGTGTGCGAATGCTATCATACAATTTATATCCCACCAAATAAAATCATCAGAGCCAAAAAAACGTACCAAGACATGAGAGATGTTCTCCCATGATTTATTTCTTGACTCTTGGGTTTGGAGCAGCTGGTGAGAAAATATAATAAGGACAGCAGACTTTGATCAAAAGTTCATGATTGTAACTACATTTTTTTGACGACGGAGAACAGGATTCACTACCAGTTGTCCCTGGTGACTTCTCCAAATGGATGATGGGGCTGAGTCAACCTCAAACCTTCTGATTGCGAGCCTTTCACTCAACTGCTTTCTTAACAGTGGTTGTCCCACGGATAGACTTGCCCCTGTCATAGGAATGTGCATTCTTAACCACTGGCTCTGGACTGTATAAAGCAATGTGCACCATCCCAGTACTCATTTATGGAGAAAGCCACTTTGATTGGACAATTCCCAAGGCGCAGATGTGGTCATTTGCATTTCCATTAACAAAAAAGCTAACTTTCAATCAAAGATGATTCTCAAAAATGTAGCAATTACCAATAGTTAAACAAAACAAAACAAGTTTCAAACAAGCAAAGATGATCGACAGAGTATTTAAGACTCCATCCGTTAACTACCTCAACTGGTGGTGGGTTTGATCGACCCTGACGCTTGTATATTTGGAGTTTGCGTGTCTCTCTCCTGGATTTTTCTCTGGGTCCTCCGGGTTTTCCCTCCACATTTATAAACATGCATCTATTGTATTTGGCTGCTATACATTTCTACACGATAAGCCACTTCGATTAGATATCATTTGCGGCCAGGTCGTTTCTGAAAATGAGCTATATATCTAAGTGGGCTTTACCTGGTTTAAAAAAAAAAAAACTGTTTAGTTAATATTCTTGGTTCTTTCGGTAAAGTCACGTAGAAGGAAAACAATAAAATAATAAAAATATTAAACAATAAGTTAATAGTTTAGAGTTTGTGGCCACACCAATAGATCAAATGCACGAATGTCGGTTTGGTGTGCTCTCTCTTGATTGCAGCTCCATCTGTGTGGAATGCACACACGTCACGTTAGCTCCCTTTCCATTTTCAAACGACACTGAAAATGTTGTTTTTTTCTCGTTTACTGCCGCCTACAGCTGATTCGTGCGTGGGCTTCGTGACGGTTTAAGTGGCCACACCGCAATTAGTTCATCGACTGGTCGCGTCTGCTGAGGTAAAGTGTGGGTACTCGTAGCTCTTCCAAGGTGTCTGGTAGCTGTGGAAGAGTAGGCCAAAATACCCTTTAAATGTGTTCTCTAGAGCCCCCTCTAGTGGAGGCTCTTCTGCCAGCGGTGGTGTGAGCAAGCAATTGCATGGCTGCCCCTTTAGTTACTTGACGGGGCTTATGAGAAGTACAAATGCAAAGCAGACATGGTGTAATACAGCCATGTAATTGTTTTCTTACTGTAACCCTCCACCACCCGACAAAACCAATCACATCAAATAAAAAAAAATACTTGCGTCGCAACACTCCGGTTTGCTGAAAATCTATATCAATTTGGCATAGCCTTCCATGACAACTTGATTTGATTGGCTTTGTTGGGTGGTGAAACATGATTTACATATTACTTAAGCAATATAATGCAAAATACAATCATTGTGAATCATAACATTGGTCATCAAAGCTTACGTAAAAAATCATGGTAAAAAGCAGTTAGTATGATCAAGTCTTCTTTGGTTCTTTCGGTAAAGTCACGTAGAATGAGAATAAAATAATAAATTGATAAAATAAAATAACATAATAATATTCTCACAGTATGATCAAGGTATGATGGAGATATGTAAGTGCGTGCAAATGCATGTACATCTCCTGAGGCTTTCCTTGTGTTTAACAGCTAAAGGCAGCATGCAGAAAAACTGGCCCCAACACCCACTTAACTGATTGCCCCGCGGTTCTTCCAGACACTGGAACATTCCCCACATGACTGGGAAAAGTAAAGGTGAACCCACTAAAGGAAAGCACCATCCATAATAGATAGGAAGTCAGCTCAATATGCATGCATGCAGTTCAGGCAATGTGTCTGTGATCTCTCTGTCTGTACAGCTCTCTAAAACAATAAAAAAAGGAACGAACGCAATAAATAAAACTAATAAAGTAAATTTTAAAAATTGACATCACTTTGTAAATCCACTGCTGGATCTTATATATAGAGAGATATAGTATAGAGCCTTAGCCCAAGGTGCTTTACAATAATTATAAATTGTACATTCGGTGAAAGTGGTTGAAAATTAATCCGTGTCCATCGAGGGTGTTGTTGGGCTATACTTTGCCATGCTGCTCAGTATGGGTTTGTCCACTTACCAGTAAAAGGATCATTCGCCGCTGATGTTAGCTGTGGCCGGGAATTGCTCTCACATACCCGGGATCACCGTCCCGTCACTGACACCACTGGCCATCTTTGCTATGGACCTGGCGACCTGAGCTTGATTCCCGGCCATGGCGAACATCATTGACGGTCCTGTACTGGCTAGCGTGATGAAGTATGATATTATAAAGCACAACTCCCATGACTGGCATGGCATGGCGAAGAGGCCTTCATCCAGCAAAGTGCTGTGAGTTTTTACACTACAATTCATAAAGTAACAAGTGTAGCGCATGTGAATTAAAATCAATAACCTGCAGCGGGTTTTGTGAAGGCTGTTCGTTCTTCGGCTGCAAAATGCTAAAAGGTCAGGTATTACTTAACGTTAAACATTTACTTGCATTTTATTATTCATTTTACAACGTGGAGAATAGTTTTTTAAAGCCAAACATCCACACCCATAACTCAGAGCTAAAATGGTATAAATAATTACTAATGTAAAAAGAAATGCATTGCGACTGTGTGGAATTTTCGCCTTTGAGTTAATTCATTTTACTGTGACTTTTTGCGTATGTCGGGAAAGTGGCGTTGGTTTTGTTGATGAAACCAGATTTCAGAGGCTTATTGGCTCACAGGGTTAGCACAAAATGAACTGAAACTGCGTTGTATAAAGCACTCTGAGGCGTTTTCGGGCTTTATATGATCGAGGGGTGAACGTGAGCTGCTCCGTTCATTCGTCAGGATGCTCCCGGCACGCGGGAGCGAAGCGTCGGACATCGCGCCCAGAAAAAAGCAGCAGAGAAGGAAATGTAAAACCACGTAAAACACTGTCGGCTTATGCAAACAAAATTATTCTAATATAAATGTAATTGTGTGGTGGTGGGTGGGGGGGGGGAACTAAAAGTAAAAAAAAAATCATCAGAAACCAACAGCCGTACGCGTGAGAAACCGCGTCATATTCGTTTGGCCACGTCCTATTAAAAGGAACTTTTGCACATTTGTTTAAACTTCTTGGCTTCCCGGACCAGCGAGCACAGCACATCGCTCGTCCAATTGCGTTGAGCTCCTAGACGCAAGCTCGCGTCTGACCCGCATGCCCTGGCATCTGATTCCTTTGTGAACTCGGAGGGCGGAAGGGACAAGGACAATGGAAATATTGTCAGTGGGTGGCAGCTAAAGTTGGAGCAATTTGATATCTGCATTCACATCCTGGATCATCACGTTTGTTTTCTTCCACCCTCCCCCCGCCCACGCCTCCCCCATTTGCTGTTCAGCCCAAGGGCACCCCACGCCGCTTGCTGTGAACACAAACACGAAAATGAACGGAGGTTTTACGGAAAATTGTACTCTCCTGTCGTGGAAGTACCCATCGCCTAGTGACGCCCCCCCCTGTCCCATCACCCCCATCCCCCTGCCCTACCCCCCACCCCCAGGGTGCCCCCCTGAGCACGTGACAGCCCCCAGGGACCCCCCTCCCACAGCCCCCCCCCCTCTCTCTCACACCACCCCCCCCCCCCAGCCGGCGCTCAGCGTGGCCTGCAGCCAATCAGAACGCTGGGCACTGACAATGACAGACGGATAGAGGCGTTGTTGCTGTTGTTGTAGTGAAGTGTACCCTGATAAGGTTGCCTTCTGTATGCATGGGCGAAAGTGAGCATTGCTACACTCGTAACGCGTTCGAGTAATGCCATTCATTACCCATGGGCAGTGCGTCAAATGCCAAGAGGATGATTTTGAAGAAAATAAAAAAACAAATTTGAGACGAACTTTGCAACCCACATATTAATGTCATGACATTTTTTTATGATTCGGTATTATTGCATCGTGAAATAAAAGTCAGGGAAATGTTTTAGAACCACGCATAAATGTATTTATATATCTGCGTGTATATGCGCATGTTTTAACGTCTCGTCCGAGGTCGACTCAGCCTTAAATGAGTACGGTACCTGGTGCGGTGTCTAAACGTCAGCTGAGGAGACAAAATAGTTCAGGAGGGGTGTTAGTCAGCCACCCCCTCGTGTGCCGTGTCGGCCTTCATCGGTGCTCGCTCTCAGCACGGGGGATCTGTGCCCTGCACTCGTTCTGCGTTACCCTAGGCAAATAAAATGATATAGCCATTGCAAAGCGTCCGAGCGAACGGATTATCCACATAAGAGATGGAGTGACGAAATCAGTTCACGTGCAGGTGCTGAGTGGATCGTTACATCGCAAGATCGTGAGAGATGGTGATGTTGGCATGGGGAGGCCTTCATCCAGCAGTGGATTGACCATGGCTGATGACGATGACAAATGCTCTGGAAGCCATAAATGACAAGGGATTTACATAAAAATGTGTAGATATATTTTTTGCATAAGTCTGGAACCAAACGTGTTTTCCAGATATCGAAGTTAAAACGAAAAAAATATGCAGGGAGAGACATCTGAAAAATAGATATGTTCATAAATATATCCCCGATGTGTTTTGGAGAGCTATACAGCATAACCGCTAAACTATATTCAAGTACTGTGGAATTAATATAACGTTAAACATATCAAAAAATTGCGTACACAATTTAGGTACAGGATTAAATGAAGCGCCATGTCATTCCGCATTTTAACACATTGCCAGGTTCAGTGGGGCCTGAAGGTCAAGAGACTCTTATTATTGATTAATGACTTTCTGCATCACTACATTTTCGGATGTCTGACAACGTCGAGGAAGGTCACAGGGTTGGAGATTGAAAGGAAGCGGCCTCACTTGAAACGTCCCTGAACAAGGGCTGAATCGCTGGCCAGTGTCCAGCTATCTGGTCACGATTCCTCATTGAACTGGCGAGTGCTTGGCACACCAGAGCGAGGCCATGGCTGATGAGAGTCCTCTGAGCATTATTTCTTGCATACAGAATCTACGTCTTCGCAATGTCGTCATGGAAATCCCCCAGACATTATTGGAACATGTTTTAAGCAATTGCGGCGAGAAATATAACAACATGAATTGCAATATGCACACTCTTCGGTTATTTCGGTAAAGTCACGTAGATAGGAAATTATTAGATCACGATATTTCGATCGCAACACAAGCGACCGTCTTCAGGTGAAAATGGAACTAGATTGAAAACTCATTTATTTAGCACTGCTTTTGGTGTTTAGTGTGTTGTCCTTCGCCCCACACCTCCAATTAGCACGGTTTGCTACGTACGGTGTGTAAGAAGTTCAACATACATCCAGTGACATTACTCTTTGGTTCTTTCTGTGTCTCCGTGTCTGTGTTTTGTCTTTCTCAAATGTAGCATTCTATGTAAGAACGTGAATCAACCAGGTAGGATGTTGACTTGTATTAGCCGACTCTCTGGGGTGTATTGCAT